TAGCAACTGTTAGTTCTTAAGCATACTACATGCATGAGTATACAAAATCAACAAACAAGCACAACAAACACACACCAAAGGTAGGCACATGAGGGGGGGGGTAGCATATATATATATATATATTTATGTATATCATCATATAAGGCGCATTCAGCAAGAGTTTCTCTAAACCTTAAACCGTTAAACGCCTAGGCCCCTGCACCGCAAACCCTCAAAGGTCTTTGAGGTGAATTAACCCTTACAGCCCCGAAACCCGAAAGCTTCGGGTGAATGCTTTTTTTAGGGTTTAGGGTTTTTAAAGAGTTCAGGGCTTAAGTAAAGGCTTCTAGGGCCCCTCAGGTTCACCGGGCGAGATAGAGCCGAGATCCTGGAAGCTTAGGCCTCAGGGATGCAAGCTTGAGTTGAACCATGTTGAACCTGGGCTTCGAGGCTACTGTAAGGGCCTGAATAAGTAGAATAGGGTTTTGGGGTCCTTTATAGTATATTTATAATGAGGAGCCCCCAAAATAGTATAGGAATATTATTTCGGCCCCCTAGATTCTATGAAGCCATGGGCCTATGGTCTGCTTGAAGGAAGGATCATGGGCAGCTGTCGCAACTGGGGGGCTAAAGTATGGGTTTGGGGCACATAGTGCCATCATGAACCATTACGTCAGGGACTATCAGGGGAGATTTCTGGCTGCTTATTGTTCCAACCCCGACTACGAAGTACGGGAAGGAACGTCTTCGAGCCAAATTCTGCCCAACCCTAAACCTTAGATCATGAAGGTCTATGTACTTTACTACAGTAGAGCTGTTTAGGACCCCCCGTGCCCCGGGGCCATGTATACACTAACTACAAGTGCTTCGAACATTCATGGACGTTTTAGACTTTCGAGTCAGCCCAACTCGCTACAGGCTGAAGCCAAGGGACGATGTGCCCTCAAAGCCGAACGACCTCACCCAGGACGTCTCCTGCGGCCACACCAAAATCCGGGTCTTTTTTCGTTCCTGCTTCGGGGTTTGGCGCCTAGGGCTGGGTTGAGGTTGCCTCGACTTTGCTTCGCCAAACTTTCACAGCACGAGAAGGTTTAGTGCAGCTCGCAACAAGAGATTGCTGCAGCACGGCAACACATGTCACCTCCATCGCCTACGACCGGCATTCTACCAGCTACCGGTACACACACACAGACACACATGTCGCTGATGCGTGAAAGCAAAGAAGTACAGGAAGCTCAAGACAGCAGGCACCCTTAACAGAAGAGTCCTTAACATGTGGACGCAAGTAAGTGACGCCTTAACCCGCACATTGTTCCATAACCTCGGAACCCGTCCTCGGACGCTTGAGTAAGCTCCGTCAAGCCGTAGAAGCCACAAGCGACCAAATGGTTGATGCCCAGCATGAAGGTGACAATTTGACTCATGTTCCTTTGATTGTTTGGCGATTAGAGCCATGTTGGCTTCTTGCGTTGGTTGGTTGGCTTGTTAGCTTTTCATCCCGATTGGTCTGTCAACCAAATCAATCCAGACAAGCATTCAACCAACCGGACCAACCAACCAACTAATTAATCACCCTCCCTTGTGGCTTTCGTTTGAACAATGAAAGATGAAAACGAAGGAATCTACGATGCATTCGCCTTTCGTCTATCGGGAAAGGGCTCTGACCTGGCTCACGCATGGGAGACATCTGCTTCGCTGCTGGGCCTGTGAACCCTAACACTGATCGACGAATCCCTTTTCGGCTTAGGGTTTTGAGTCCCTTTTCCCCTACAAACCCTCGGCAAGACTTATCCCCCCCACATCCTCTGGGAACTCTGCTGACTGCGTCAAGGAACGCTACAAGGCTCCAGTACTCCGAGTTGATCAAATCGTGGAAATTAGCCATCAGCGTCCGCAGCTTGAGCATCCGTACAAGTCGTAGAATGCCTGGTCCGCGTGGTCGGGCTGTCTTGTCTGCGGAGTCTACGGCTTCCGGTTTAACCCGGTTTTGAGACCCGCAATCCCTGCAACCTACTAGCTGCCTAAGATCCTGATCTTTTCTATGCTACGTTACAGTACCCTGGTCATACCTTCAGGATACTCTGCATAGTCTCTTTATTAGGCTTCGGCTTTGGAGTCACTGTGGTGACATGCGTATCTTGCCAGACTTTGACATGGAGCTCCTCTGTTTGATTGCATGGTACTCTTGGGCATAATTCCATTGCATTTTCTTCTCACAGGGAGGGTGCCTTTAATTAGCACTCCTGCCGTGATTGATCTGACTGCTTGATTATCGGAACAGTTCTATAGGCATCATGATTTGAACTTCTACTACGATACGCAGACTACACAAAACCTCGATTTTGTGTTTCCCGGCACCTATGTAGTTTCTTAGTCGGTTCCAGGTAGGTAATTGAGAAGACACCCCCACAATCAACAGAAGGGATCTGCAGTTAGTTAAAGCGACAGGTATCGAGTTTGTCTTACGTTTGCTTACATTCGTGGCTCTGCAATTCTGATGTGCCTCGTGAACCAAATCACGGCTATGTAACAATGCGGCTTTGTGCCGCGAACATTTAGGCTGGAGGTGGCGCCCGGGTGCGCTGAAGGGTTCGCTGAACATCCTTCAAGGCAGGAGCCCAGTAATTGCGGAACGCTTCAATCGCCAGGTCCATGCGCGATATCCCGGACAATCCAGCCTCCCTCGACAAGACCAATGATATTTATATGCATATATATATATATATATAAATTGACAAGGGCCTATTATGCTTAATTAACACTGGCCGACTTTTCGGTGCACGCCTACTGGCTGGACGTTGGTGCGGGAATCAAGGGTTTTCGGCGCGGACCTAGTGGAATACGTTTGTTCGGGTGGCCTTCTTATGCATAACACAGTCCTATTTTGGGGGCTGGTTGGATGCACACCGGTGCAGGCTTAAAGCGCTCCGGATCCATTTCTTTGGGTGGCCTCGTTATGCACACTGTCCTAGTTTGCGGACTGGCTGCACGCTTGGTGTGCGATCTTCACCGGGCAGGGGCGTGCCGGCCCGGGCCTGCCCTGCCCTGTCCGTCTGCCCTCACCGCGCCCGCTACCAGGGGCGGGGGCGGGGCGGGGTGGGCGGGGGCGGGGCGGGTGGGGAGGGCATGCCAGGGCAGGGCACCGTGCTATGTCTTGAGTGGTGGGTTTGGGGCGCAGGGTGGGGGTGGGGGGGCGAGGCGGGGGCGGGGCGAGACCAAATCCTAAAACCACTTTCTTGACACCGGTTTGGGGCTGCCCCAGCTTTGGACCCGGATCTCAAAAACTGAAGGAAAGCATAATCGGAATCTTTCAATACTACATTCGCTGGCCCCCAAAGCCACATCGGTCCCATCCTGCACTGACAAATCTTGCATCCTGAACTGTCTAACCCCGGCCCGGTGGCGTATGATACGCAGCAGCCGCACAAGGCGAAGAAACTCCGTCGACTCGTCCATGGACTGTTCTGCGGGGAGTGCCAGACCTCGTTTCGGTGAGAATTGCAGGTCTAGTAACATAATATAGTCTACTCGAATATCCTATGACATACTATGATACCCTAAGCCCTGAGGCTCGTGGTTGCGCGTTCAATCTTTAGCTGCTCTTCACATCCGCGCTAGGCAACTCGAGCCTAGACAAACTTGCGTTGAAGTGGAAGGGGGACACTTACTTGCCGCAGCCCTGTGCTGGAGCAGGGAAAGAACTCGTCCCGAAAAGAAGTGGCGGACGAAGGAGCAAGGCAGCTACCAGGCTACGAGATTGCGCAGGGAGGTCTTATGTAGATGTGAAGAAGGCAAGAGGTGCCTTGATTGAAGCTGAAGCTATACCCATTACACACGATCCTGACTCTTTTTAAGGGAGCTTCAGGCTGTGAGTTTGGCTTATTTTACCATATTTCTGGTGCTTCAGATTCGGAGCTTTGTAGGGCTTGGGGTTTTCGGGCCGCAATTCATTTAAAAAGCCCTACCCTTCCATGTAAGCTTTAGAGAAGATAAGCTGTAAACTCTGAACCTCCTCGCGCCCCAGGCTGACTAAGCCAGCGCTGAGCATCTCGCAGCCGACCCCAAACACTAAGTGACCCTGACTTCTAGACGTGTGAAGTTGGAGCAAACCACTTCGGGCTGATTTTGTTGCTATACGACCTTGCGGGGGCGTAGAACCCTGGGTCGGCATCTCTGCTGCAGCTGTTAAGCTGTTACTACTGTACGAATACCACTATCGTCCCCAGCCCGACCCAAAAACCCATATTTTTGAGCTTTGAGTGAGACCGGCAGGCTCGCGACCCAAGATCTTATCCCGCAGGGATTTCGGGGTGTAGGGCTTTTGAGGGCAAACTCAAGAATGCCATCGAGCCGCTTGTTGCGATGCTCGTTTAAGATTTCACGGGCAAGGGAATTAGGGCTTCTTGCCAACATTACGGCTGTTGATGCCGGCGTGCTGAGCCAATCCAGCAGTACCAAGCTGACGTCAGGGATGAACCATGTCCTATTCAAGAACCGGCGTCATGTGTTTGGTTGTTTCGGGCTTGTTGTGAATATTTGTGATTTGTATGTTTGCATGCGAGCATGTATGCAGGCGTGCACGCATGCATATCGGCCTGTGTCTTTGTGTACAGTACACGCGCGCCGTGTGTGCTCACATACATGTATGCATACACAACAAGACAGGTATGCACATGAATGGATACATACATCCTTCAATCCTTGAGTCCTTCCTTCCTTAACTCCTTCCTTATGTACTTACCTAGTCACCTGCCTAACTATAGCTCGCCTGGCTGCCTTTCTGCCTTCTTACTTACGAGAATCACACACAGATATTTCCATGTCCGTGCATCAATCTCTCTGCTCCGCACAGGTTGACATGTGTGTACGCGTACAACAAATGAACTCAGGAACATCTTGTCCACTGTGATGACGACGATGGCTATGGACGTGGCGATGCAAACGATGGCGATTTTGAGCTATTGAGCAAGACTTATACTGCATGCTTTGTCGACCTCATCTGGACCGTGGATGCAACAATGACGATGCCATCATCGACAGAAGCAGCAGCCGCTGTTGCAGTGGCATCAGCCCGAGCATTATCTTCCATGCTGATCATCGGCATCCGTGTTGCTGACCATTGATGCCACCGTCGGGGACATAACTATCGCTGTCGTCACCGCCGCCGTCATGGTCACCATCATTGCTATGATCGTGATGATGACCATCACCATCGTCATTCTTGCCCTACCGCCATCGACGTCGTTTTGATTGCCATTATATGCTGAATCTGCCGTTCTCGGTTTGGCATGATCGCCATCACCACCGCCGCCTTCTGGAAATGCTGAGAGAGAGAGAGAGAGAGAGACAGAGAGACAGAGAGACAGAGAGAGAGAGAGAGCGAGAGAGACAGATCGAGAGACGGAAAGAGCGAGCGAGAAACCAGCAACAACACCGCTCCAACCTTTGGCCAAGACCCCAGCCCCAGGCCCCAAGACCCAAAAGATTCTTAAACCCAAAACCCCTCTCCGGAGGTAGTTCTTCAGGATTTCCGGGAAGTCCATGACCTGTGATGAGAGGACTCAGCGAAAGGATTCCAGCGACGTGGGGAGACCTTGCGGCTTCAGGGTTTAAGAATTCAGGTTTTCCAAGCTCACACCAGCTTGGGGGCAATGTTGCTTAACTCCAGGGGCCTTCTTGGTCGGAATTGGGGTCTTGGGGTATGGTTATGTATCATCAGCTGCAGGAGGCCTAAGGAGCAATATCCACAATGATTCGACCCGGTGTCCTGTGGTCTGGTTAGGCCGAAGGCTTGCTTTCTTGCTCAGCAACTTGGCCCTTCTTGCTGTGTTCGCTGGCCCAACAGCGGTTAAAGGCTAAAGGCATACCACTCAACTACTAATTCTTACGTTACTATATAGTGATGAGGCATATGCAGGGAACACTATGCTACACTATGCTTCTTGATTGCGATAACGTAAACGACATCTAAACCCTACATCCTGTTGAGTACGCACGGTAACTGGAACTGAATTCCCAGACATACCTACCGACCTACCGACCTACCGACCTACCGACCTACCGACCTACCCACCTACCCACCTACCCACCTACCCACCTACCCACCTACCCACCTACCCACCTACACACCTACCCACCTACCCACCTACCCACCTACCCACCTACCCACCTACCCACCTACCCACCTACCCACCTACCCAGCTACCCACCTACCCACCTACCCACC